CCGGAATAAGTCTTCTAGCATCTATCAGTTCGGATGAGGCGGTGGAGATCCAGTGGTTTTTACTCACCTTTGGGTTTACCTTATTCACAGCTTTTACAGCTGTATCTATGGCTGCCTGGATATTTTTCCAAGCTTCTTCAGGGTGAGCACAGCTGTCGAACACAGATATGTGTTTAGCTAGTTCTTCCTCAAATACGGATTTAGTTTCCTGATCGAGCTGGGGACGTGATGGTTTTACCGCCAGCTGTTTCCTACGTCCGTTCAGTCGTAAGCACACCCGAGCGCGGACCAGTGCATGGTCGGTATCTACGCACGTGTTCCAGAAGGAGCGACAATCTCCTACCGACCCACGCCAACGATAGCTTATTGCTATGTGGTCTATTTGTGTCCAGCGTTGGTTTGATGAAGGGGGTCTCCAAGTCAAACAGTGTCTCTCCTTGTGTTTGAAGTTAGTGCTTACAAGAAACAAATGATTATCAGAGCAGAACTGTAGGAGACGGTCACCGTTGTCGGTTCGCTGGCACGGGACTCCATAGGTGCCACCGACATCCTTCTCAGATTGACACAATTTCCCTACTTGAGCGTTAAAGTCACCAGCTAGAACGACTATGTCTGAGCGTTTAGCCTTTCGCACCAAACTAGACAGCTTTTGGTAGAACTCATCCTTCGTTTCATCTGAACTGCAGTCAGTGGGGGCGTAGGCGGAGATTACGAAAAGGCATCGGCGAGTAGTGCAGTCCTTCCTCCTTCTTACTGATCCGTTCAGGCGGACAGCACACATTCGGCTATCTACCGGGATCCAGTCAAGTACTCAAAGCTATCCCTACGCCAGCTAATCCTCGTGAACTAGCTGTGGCATCTCCTGACACCCTCAGGTGAATTTTGCAGATTCAACCTGTTGGCCAGGTGGGGTTAGGTGAATAACCACACTTGGGTCTTGTATGCGTGTTTCTGAAACACAGCATACATCAATGGCTCGTGATGCCAGGGTCTTGGCTAGTGATGCTTGTTGTCCTATTTGGCAAAGTGTCCTAACATTAAGAGCTCCTATATGAAATTGGTGGCGCGGCTTTAAGAGGCTGTCGGTGGTGGTTTTTTGGCTTCCATCGTTTTTAGTGGACGCAGAGTGGAGAGGAAGTGGAGAGCTATCAAGTCGAGGAGTTGCATCAGTGGAAGGAAGGCAAGATGATAGAGATGAAGATGAAGACAAAGATGAGTGAGTAATAGAGAGGTTTCGTGTGCATTTCGGATTGTGAGTGTGAGTGACTGGCTGGCTACAGGACGAAATTTCTTGGAGTCTCTGGTGAGGATTTATGACCAGCAGGGGGATCATCCAGTGTGTGTAATGGAGTTCCCGCCAATGATGACATTGGTTGGCGGTCACGCTATAATCACGAATTGGTAAAAGTTAGAAAGTCATGGGCCATTAAATCGCGTCCCAGTGGCTGAATGGTATACGAGCTGGCCTTGAAATCGGAAGATCTTGGGTTCGTAACCCAACGGGTGCGTACTGCCGATGAGTCTCAAACATTAGAACGAAACCGCTGTTCAGTAGGCCCTGGTTTCCAATAATTCTCTAACATAACAAATACATATTCTTTGTGATTACCGCATTTTTGATATCCATGTCAATGGCATACGAATAAGTCGTAATAATACTATGAATAAAATAAAGTAGCAGTGTTGTCATGGTAACAAACGGAGGGTTTTTTATTGTTGTGTGTTTCTGTTGTCATAGTTTGTTCAGTCGAATCAATGTCTATCTCAGGCGGAATGTATATTTCATTCGTCCATGCGTTGATCATATATATATATATATATAAACCATTTACTGTTACAGTTGGTCAATCGAAAAATTCTCATACTCAGCATTTCATAAAATTGATTTACTGGCCCACCATATCAGAAGTATTTACAATATCGATTGCCCAGTAGAAAGGCTCTTATTTCTCCAAAATATCCTGGCTGTAAATTGATATTCATCACGTATTGCTTAGAACAACACAACATGAAACCAAAGTGAAAAAGAGAAGAATGCTGTTCTATGGTGAAGACAATACTGTATTTGTGATTTCAGAGATATCCAATGACTGCAAAACTCTTCAAACCTTTAGGAATTGACGTCATACACAAACCAACAAATTCACTTCACTCAGCCAGCCAGCCCTATGTCAACCAAAAGACTCAACAGCGAAAGAAAATAAAACCAAACATCATCTACAAAATCAATCGCGAGAAACACTACGTTGGCCAAAGTCGACATCCTCTTCGTCTTTGTATCCATGAGCATAATCTAGCCATCAAAAGATGTGACATCCACTCCCTCATATCACTGCATACAGACAACCACGGACATCAATTCGACTGAGACAACCAAAGTTCAAATATAAGATAGAGAACGCACCAATAATGCTAGAGAATTTTTAGAAGCCTCTCTGGTATTCCAGTGAATCGTCAATCAATAGACACATGGACAACATTTATCAACCGATAAGAAAGGAACCTCACACACGAATGGTCAAAGTTCAACTAAAGGTAACCATCAGCACCGATTCCAATACAAGTAACCTAAAAGGTGTGGAAATACACAAAAACAACCAGTCACATTCAAGGTGGTCACCAGGATAGATGATTAATAAACTCGTGGAGAAAAATCTTAAAGCTCACTCCCTTCAAATTGAAGTATGCGCTGAAGATGAAGCCTAGTAAGTAGGCCGATGAAAGCTTCGCAAATTAACTATCTAGGTAGCTCAGAGAACACAAACACATCAAAAAGATGTCTGTTTTCCCTCCTCTAAACTAGCCATGCAGTCTAGAAATGGTAGTTCACCGAGTCTGATTCTGCTTCTGAAGTAAATTGAATACTGGAAGATAGAATGTTCGGTTTCTCCAAGAATGAATTGTGTAGATCTCGTTTTTAGCACAAAAAAGTATCATCGTAGTACATGCATAACTTTGTAAATGAAATGAATATTTTGAAATAATGGGGATTTCTAGGCCCAGGTGGATGATTTTCGCCTAGTTTTGTCCTATCAGTTGGTTAATTTAATTGCAAAGCTTTCGTTGTCCTTCTAGACAATCTTTTCGGGGCAAGTTTCAGTAGGTCCTCGGTCCGATCGCCGGTGGAGTCATGAGTGCATACTTCTAGGACGAAATAGCTGTCCAGTACTGCCTGTCGTTTTAGCATGAAAGAACTGTCGACATTAAAATTTGGTTTTTCTCTTATATACTCACGTGGTTCAGTCGGGGGAGCTGATGTTTATAGTAAACTACTTATTTTGTATGACCAACTAGAGAAAATTGAATTCTGGAAGCTAACACGTTCGGTGGTATTTTGCGGGGAGTTAGCTAGGTGTATGTGTTTTTCAGTACTCTTCAATAAACGAATTGATGTACTTCCTGCGAATAGAAACCATGTAGCTGAGTGTTGCAGTTAGTGGTAAAGTTACCACTGAGTTATTCAGGATCATTACTGACTTTCTGCAGCACTATGATGGTTATATTTGATTGGTTCCTGAGGATCGATCAACCAACCAGGTCAGGGGTTCCAATCCCGATCAACTTACTTCAATCTAAGTAATTGGATAATATCATCAGTCCCTCACACGATAAGTATGGCCCAGTATCGGGTAACAGACTACTACTACAACTGTGGTGAGAGCTGGCTGTTAGTCAAATCGGTAGACAGCAATTTACGTCAATGTTTATGTCCCTAATATTGGTCGTGGGAAAAATGAGAAGAAAGGCTTTGCGTAGGCGGATACAGTTAGCAAACAGATGATCTAACATTCAAGAAACAGACACAAAGAGATGAAAGGTTAACTTTCAGTGAGAAACAACCAATCAGAAGACTGTGTTTGTTTGCTACCAATAATCTATAATAATGTACATGAAAATATATAAATGTGTTGATTTCCTTAATACGCGATCTGTTTGGCTGGCCCTTGTCTTCTGTTGTTACATTACTAGTACTACACAGTAACCAGCGTCATGTGTCTATCACTGACTGGAGTCTATCACAGTCAACATTTAATACATGTGATGTCACAAATCCAGTAGACAACACGTTGTCGCGCAATCAACTGTCAGTCTGTCTATTTCCTACATAGAACTTTGCACCGATGTGCAGAACTTCGAGTTGGCACATTCCCTCCATGTACCACACAAAGTAAGAGAAATGCAAAATAGAGACAGTAGACAGGAATATAAGACAATAGGAATAGTAATGACGAAGAACAATATAGTTTAATTGGGTATTATAAGTCACAAGGAGTGGATGCATCTGTGCCAGCCATTGAGAACGACTTTGAGCCATATCACCAGTTGTCCTCAGCCGTCATTGGTTTTTCCCCTCTCGAGGACACCAACCAACCAGTCAGGAAGTCTACACCTCCCTACGTGACTGGCCGGTTTAAACTAAGCGTCGTGGATTTCATTGACTGGTGCCGTGTTTTGGTTTGACCACCGCAAGCTCTTTTCCAACCTGATCCATCCTATGTCAGCTAACATTGCCCTTTGTCGAAGAAGGCGGTGACTGACTAGGCAGGCATGCTTAACACATCTTGAGCATTTAGTTGGTGGATGGTGACTAGCAGTGGAATCCAGGATACACATTTCGTCCTATTTGGGACTCGTCAGCTGGATGTACCTGCATTTTTCAGTGAGTCATGATATTCCCACTGAGGCCGACATATCAACCTGAGACCGAGCACTTCGGTCCAATCAATCGACGGGAAAATCTCAAATTCAATTACATCCTAGCCATCTCAGTCGATATAGCTTCACAGCCTCGTCAATTGATTTTCGCTACCCCCCTTACCGTACTACACCACTTCATATCAAGTTGATTAAAGGCAATCGAAAAAAATTTACGAAAGTGAAGAGTTAATTGGCTGTAGGCGCTAGCACCACGGTAAGAGAAACGGACCCCATTTCCCACCACCAAGCCCCAAGGTCTGACATCAGACCCTAATTAAGCTATTGAGAAGCACAAATCTAAACACCAATAAACTGTAAACACATTCTGTTTTTTTTATTATTATTAAAATCATACAAAAAGAAAGAAGCTACATTTAAACCAAATAAATGGTAGTAGCAAACTTCGAATTAGAAAAAATAATAATAATATTAATAATATTATTATTAAACACTGTATACGTGTGTTGTGTGTGTGTGCACAAGGTAACACATACAATTGAAAGAGAAGAGAATATTAAACAAGAATGTGAACAACAGCTACAAGACAAGTACACACACACACACTTCAAAAACACAAAACTACAAACAGACGCCAGTACATATGCACGCACGCACGCACCCATACACATACACACACAAAGATATACAGATGCATTTGTACACATACAGAAATCTAAGAGTTCTTATTCTATTTCCACTATAATTCAATTTTTATAAAAAGAATAAGTCTAATGTGGTAGGGTATTGTGCAAAATGAGCGGGGGTGGGGGTGGAATGGGTGCGAGTGAGCATGTGAGTGAGTCCCTGTGTGTGTGTGTGTGTGAGTGCGTGCATCTTAAGGACAAACAGACAGACAGAGAGATAGAGATCTTTCTAGAAAAAAGCATAAATACATCATTACCAGTATATGAAATATATTATAATTTTATTTTTCATTTAATAAGAACAGTTCCACCTTTATAGTCATCTGATGATCCAGTTGAAGTCTTTCGACTCGATGTTATATCACTCGCCTGTGAAGTACACGATGGTGTTTCTTGGTGTCTAGATGCAACTGTCAATGATGATGTGGAAGTTACTGAACCAGAATATGGCATAGCACTTCTTAAGATAATAACATTACTGTGTCGTATAGCATTATTCTTGACTTCTTGTTGTTGGTGTTCGTGTGGTTGTTGTAAGGATGAAGGGGGTATCGATGATGATGGTAGAGATTTTGCTTTTTGTTGATAACCTCCTTCGCCGTCTCCGGCTCCTCCTTCAACTGCTACTGGAATAGGATATCCCGAGGTAACAGATCCAGTTGCACATGATGATCCTGGTGCTGAATTACAATAATGTCCATTAAAATTCATATGTTCAGCTAATAAACGTAAACTAGGATCTGTATGATTCAATAGCATTTCAATAAATTTGATAACATTTGCCTACAGAAGAAATTTTTTTTAAAAAAAAACAGCATAGAATAATTATTAGGTATAGAGAAAGAAAAACAAACAAGGGAGAAAAGCCTAAAACAACGAAATATATGTGGATGGGGCTCGAATAACAGTCACGAACGATGTGGTGAGAGTTGTCTGTTAGCTAAAAATTGGGGTAGACAGCAATTTACGCGTCAATGTTTACGCCCTAAATCTTGGTCATCAGAAAGAAGAACAAAACAAGAACAAAGACTAACTCAACAACCAATCACAGCAGACTAAGCGTGGGTGGATACCATTAGCAGATATTATGGTCTGACCTTCAAAGAGATGACAGAATAACCTTCGGCAAGAAAACAACCAATCAGAAAACGGTGCTGTTTCTTTGCTCACCATAAACAATAATAATGTGCATAAGAATCTAGAAATATCTCCTGATTTCTTCACTAAACGATCTGTTGCCTGGCCCTTGTCTTCTACCGTTACAACGACACCTACACGTGTATTGTTACTGTCTAGACTAACAATTAATGTGAGGCTACAGTATTTCATCATGAGCAGACATTGGTTAGGGAACCATTGGGAAACATGCCAAGGAGTACTGGACAGCCGTTTCGCCCTAGTTTGAGACTCTTCATCAGCACGTATCTATCGGGTCCCAGTGGCTTAATGGTCACCTGGAGTCCTGTTTTCGCTGCTTCTGCTGACCAATTTGTTGGTTTCCACCTCCAAGTCTTCGAGTTTGCGTGACATCAGACGAAATAAATAATCTCTACTGTATGACCTCTTTATGTACACATAGAGAACATCAAGGGAAATTAATTACCAACAAGTCAAGTTAAACTTGCAACTTGATGGCACTTAAGCATTTAAAAAAGTAACATTCATTTGACTGTCAGAGGAATCAAATCGAAATCATTACAGGTTTGATCATGAGATGATATATTTGTTAGAGAACTATTGGAAACCACCAGAGAGTGCTACTGAGCAGATGTTTCGTCCTCATTCGGTACCCCTCATCAGTACGTGCCCACCGGCATTCAAACCTAGGAACATTCCAGTTCCAGGATCTAGTGAGAAGCCGTGCGACCATCGAGGTCCATCAATACAGACTGGTAAGAGGAAGTCGCGGTATATATCGCAAAATAGCAGAAATTGGAATTCAGAGCTATCGGATTGGTTCCCAGTCTGCTGAATAGTGTTATAACCGCAAGGTCCGTTCTGGGTTCGAACCCTAATGAGTGTTGTTTAGACAACAGTACGTTCACGACATAGTAGAAGAGGAAAATGAGGATTATGAGTGTTACTCAACAGGAGTTTGCATTTCTATGCAATTGGACACGAGCTGCACCCTTATAGCTCTCCCGCTCTCTCTCTCTCTCTCTACACCCCTTGTAGATGGAGTGATTTTGACTTCAGTGGTTGGAAGTTCACCGTCCAGACCAATAAACCATGGCTTGAAATACTACTATTGAAACGACAGAAGACAAGTGGCAGGCAACAGATCGTTTATTTACGAAATCAACACATATTTATAGATTTTCATGTACATTATTATAGATTATTGTAAGCAAACAAAGACAGTCTTCTGATTGGTGGTTTCCCGTTGAACGCCAATCTTTCATCTGTTTGTGGCCGTATATTAAAGTTCAAATTACCTATCTGCGGATCACATCCGCCGATGCAAAGTTTGCTGTGAATGGTTGTTGAATCTGTCTTTGTTCTTATTTTTGTCACGACCAATATTGGGGACGGAAACATTGACGTAAATTACTGTCTACCGATTTGGCTAGCAGCCAGCTCTCACCACACTATTACTGTTTACAGTTAGAAATTATGTACAGTTCTATGAATGTTCAGTGAAAGACTGGAATAAAATTCTTACAAAAAGGAATCGATGTTAGATGATAAGGGTTGCGTGGTTTGTTGACACTGTCGTCAACAAGATGAATCTGGAATCTGTGAAGGAACTGATATCCCTTCAGAGTTCCCCTCAGAGATGTAACAACAGAGCTATTCGAATCAACAATCGACTTCTTGTAGGACTACCTAATGTTACAACTAAACCACAGAAATATTGAACCAATATTTCAGAGAAACAATTACAGAGAGATGTGAACATTGTTACTTCATGCCTAAACGACTTAATCACGAATTTATCCAGCAGTAATGCATGAGAATACCCGTTGCTGGTTTAATAATCGAATAATCTTCAGTCGTCTGGAAGGCTTCGATTTCTGGCCTACATATACTTCTAAGTCTCGTCGAATTTACTACCCTTTACACACCGTACTCATAATGCGGAGGTTAAAGGCTTCAGTGTCTATCGAGGGGATGGGTTTTGTACGTCGATGGTTCAATGGTACACTACCACCAGCCAGTCATGCCACAGATCCGGATGCGATTACCAGACGATGCATTCTTAATAACCTCACCCAGGCTACTAAGCAGGAGTAGAGTGAGAAAAGAGAGGAGGTTGGGGGTGTGGGGCTAGAAATTTTACATCGTAAAACAACAAACAAACAAGAACCTGGAAAGTTGCATACATTTAAAAAAAATTTCAGGATAACTTACACGGTAGGCAGCTGCTTGAATACGAATTTGAGCTTGTAGGTGAGCCAATTTATTATCGACAAATTCTTTACGACGAATAGACTCTTGCTCTTCTTGTAATCGATTAGTTCCCCATTTACCAGTTTTTGTACACCGCTGTACCTGTTATCGTCATGATAATAATAATAATAATACATATCAATAATAATAGTAATAATGGTGTGAAATAACTTATTTATTGTTTGAGGTCAATTGTCAGACATGGCCATTGAGAGTGGAAGACATGAAAAGGCCAATTAGCTGTCTTTGATCCTAAGTGCTTGCGTTCTATCTCCCGTGTGTGTTAGGTGGTATAATAAGGTGAGAAACAGTGAGGTTATGCTTCGGTCAAGTGCTAGGTAAGGAAGGGAAATCAGTCAACGAGGCTGTGAAGTTACATCGGTTGAGATGGTTAGGATATATGTTACGCATACATGCCTGGTTGATTCCACCTCCAAAGCCTCAGGATGGTCGGGGGTGGGTGCCTTGCGCTGCGGGTTGGCCACCCCTCCTCACACCTCCTGAAATGCTCCCATATGACCGGGCGTCTTACATAGCCTCTCCTGAGGAAGTCCTACTCACTGCCTTCACGTGGCGGAGGTGTTTCTCACCGAAGTCAGAGGGCGAAAGCGGATGCCCGGCGCTCTCCACCGGGTTGACTGTCCATTGGATGACAGTCTAGGGGAGATGGCTAAACCCTGATTCCAAACCTCCAACGACTGGCGTATGAAGCTCACTGGAGCTCACCGGCAGACGTATGGACAAAGGGCTTGTTGGATGTCCTGGATGTCTGGCCCCATTCAAAAAGGCGTATGAACCGAACTCCGGTCACCGGCTGCCAATGGATAGTGGACTCCTTACTCCACTCCTACTGCCTTGTAGGTCACACTTGGCTGTGTAAAGGCTAGAGCTGCACTCTCAAACAAAAGGCCGAGCGATCCTGGGGACATCACTCGTACCAAATTCCCATGAAACTTCATGAACTCTCTTACAAATTGCCGCGCTTGGGCAGCGATGATTCGAGACGTTCATGAAGCCGGCTCATCCTCCCGTAGGAGATAGCCGAAGTAAAGTAAGTAAGATTCCACTGCTAGTCACCATCCACCAATTAAATAGCAATGAATTGTACTCAAAACATCATTAAATTATTATTACTGTATGTTTGATAAAATAAATTCATTTGCTATGGAACTATATCCTACAAAAAAAAGTGCATTGGTGGTACATCAGTAGTCGCAAACGACGCACATCTAAACCTCGCTTAGTCGGTGGTAAGCCTAGTAAGAATGGAAGATTGGAGAGGGGGTGGGGCGGCATGGTGCTAGCAGCCCCACGACCTCATAAAATTCCAACACCACTGTTTTTTTTTTGTTGTTGATATATATATAGTTGTGTTCTCTGAATAGTTTAGTTTGCGAAACTTTCATCGCCCTACTAGGCGACATCTTCAAACCTTTAGGAATTGACATCATACACAAACCAATAAAATCACTTCACTCAGCTGGTTCTGTGTCAACCAAAAGACTCAACAACAAAAGAAGATAAAACCAACATCATCTACAAAATAAATTGTAACAACTGCGAAAAACACTGTCTGTCTGTCTGTTTTCGACATAGAACTTTGCACAAATGTGCGGAAGTTCAAGTCGCCACATTCCGTGTAGCACGCGAAGCAAGAGAAGAAAGTACAAGAAAAGCATAATAGAAACAGTGAGCAGAGGTGTGAGACAAAGGAGTAATAAAGAAATACAAAACAGTTTCATTGGAGATCATAAGTCACAGGGAGTGGATGCATCTGCGCCACTGAGAACGGTTTTGAGCCATGTCACCAATTGTTTCCAACCACAGAGTTTTACCGTCCCGAGGACCCCAGCCTGGAAGTCTACACCTTTCTACGTGGCTTAGACCAACTGTTGTGGATTTCATTGACTGATGCCATGTTTTTGTTTGACCGCCGCTAGCTTTTTTCCAGCCTGACCCTATATCCGCTAACATTGCTCTTCGGTCGAGGGAGGCGATGGCTTGGCATGCAAACGTAACACATGTCCTAACCATCTCAGTCTTTGTAGCCTCCAAAGCCTCAGGATGGTCGGGGGTGGGTGTCTTGCGCTGCGGGTTGGCCACCCCTCCGTACACCTCTTGAAATGCTCCCATATGACCGGGCGTCTTACATAGCCTCTCCTGAGGAAGTCCTACTCACTGCCTTCACGTGGCGGAGGTGTTTTTCACCAAAGTGAGAGGGCAAAAGCGGATGCCCGGCACTCTTCACCGGGTTGACTGTCCATTGGATGACAGTCTAGGGGAGATGGCTAAATCCTGATTCTAAACCTCCAACGACTGGCGTATGAAGCTTACTGGAGCTCACCGGCAGACGTATGGACAAAGGGCTTATTGGATGCCCTGGATGACTGGCCCCATTCAAAAAGGCGAATGAACCGGACTCCGGTCACCGGCTGCCAATGGATAGTGGACTCCTTACTCCACTCCTACTGCCTTGTAGGTCACACTTGGCTGTGTAAAGGCTAGAGCTGCACTCTCAAACAAAAGGCCGAGCGATGCTGGGGACATCACTCGTACCAAATTCCCATGAAACTTCATGGTTCATGAAGCCGGCTCATCCTCCCGTAGGAGATAGCCGAAGTAAAGTAAAGTAAGTAAGTAGCTTCACGACTTCGTCGATTGATTTCCCCTGTTTACCTAGAACTCTACGCCTAACCTCCATGTTGCTCACCTTATTATGCCACTTTACACGGGAAATAGAGCGCAGGCACCTATGATCAAAGACAGCTAGTCTTTTCATGTCTTCCACTCTCAGTGGCCAGGTCTCACCTGGCGAAAAACACTACATTGGCCAAAGTGGACGATGTCCCTTTCGTCTTCGTATCCATCAACATAAGCTAACCGTCAAAAGACATGGTATCGACTCCCTCATTTCACTACACACAGACAACCACGGACATCAATTCGACTGGGACAACCAACATTCAAATATTAGACAGACGAGATACCAAGAATACTAGTCAGAGAATTTTTAGAAGCCCACTTGGTATTCCAGTGAATCGTCAATCAATAGATACATCCAGATAGACAAAATTTATCAATCGATAAGAAGGAAATCTCTCTCTCTCTCACACACACACACACAAAGGGTCAAAGTTCAAGTCAAGGAAACAATCAGTACGACCAATACAGATAGCCTACAGGGTGTGAAAACACACAAAAACAACCAATCACGTCCAAGGTCATTAGGAGAGATGACTAATAAAACTCGTGGAGAAATCTAAAAAGCTCACTTCATCGAGTTGAAGTGTATGCAGCACTGAAGATGTGGTCTAGTGTTGTGGGCAATAATGAAAGCTTCGCAAATTAACTATCCCGCTAGCTCGGAGAACACAACCACATCAAAATTAAACCACCACATCTGAGCTACAAATCTTCCCTAACATATCTAAACACCACTGTTCCTGAAACTTCCACACTAGAACTTGAATCTTTATGTTTCACAAAGGAGGAATGCAAAGGAACATAAAAATAACAATAGATAGATGGATAGATGGGGGGGGGGGGAAGTGACAGAGAACAGAGCACAAACCTCAGCTTTATACTTTTCACGTTTCTCATTTTCATGCATTGCAGTTATATTAAAATCTTGATGTAATTGAGAATAATCTAATATTGAATTGAATACTGCTCTCAACTGGCCAAGTAATTGACGTGATTCAGCATCTAGTAGACAACGTGTAAAGACATTGGATAGAAAAGCTTGATGAGCATTGACAACACTATCCAAGTCTTCAGCAGCATGAACTTGTTTCACAAGATTCTCCCAAGCACATTCTAGGACCTAAATGAACAGAAGAAAACGAAAAAATGGAAATCAAAAAACAAATTGAAAACAATATTGATTAATTCCTTTCACCAATAATTGAGTTGTATTCAACGGCTGACCCAGAATTTACAAGTAATACACAGTGGTCGAGTCTTTAGAATGCTACATGACACCTGGTGGTCAGTGTGACATGTAACTACATCAAGTCAACAGTAGCCACCTACATGCATGAATGAAAATGAGGCTTAAGAACAGCAAACCTTTAATGAAGAGAATAGTGATTAATTTGAATAAAGCAAGAATTACAGTTTTCGCAGAATAAAACTGTACCATCATTATTTCGTTGGCTTCTCATCAGCTGCTTGCTTACAGGCCAGAGTCATTATTAAGGATATCCTACAGAAACAATTTTAGCATACTTCCTCAGAGAGATCATTTTTAAACATCTGCTTTTGACTCTGTACCTAGGGGTCTTTTATTAAATAAGCTTTCGTTGATGCAAACAAGATCCTGGGCAAAGAGTTGGTTGCATTCTTATTTTTCTGATAGAATGCAGTATACTGTATATAATGGCAAATCTTCTTCTGTCTCGCTTACAAAACCCGGTGTTCCTCAAGGTGTTGTCTGTCCTCTCTCCTTTTCTTTTTTCTTTCTTCCTCTCGGACGACCTGCCTCATTTAAACGACACTAACTTTGTCAAATATGCAGATGACCTGACCGCATCACTCACTGCCTATCACTTCCGAGTCTGACTGCTCTAAACTTAATAGCTTTCTGTTGGACATCAACAAGTGGTCTTATGTTATTTCCTTCCAAATGTCGGGCAGTTAAATTTACTTTCAAGCATCGACGTGATAAACATGAACTAGTTAGTTCGCATGACGCCTGTAGCATAGATGGCATTGAAGTTGAAACCACGTCATGCACTAAATACCTTGGATTAGTTCTTTCCTCTGACCTTTCATGGTCATCCCACATCTTATCAATCTCTAAGAAGATGTTTCGTCTTACCTTCTACATTAAAAAGTTGAGACAATCAGGTATCAACCAACCTTCACTTCAATTTTTAAACTTCTGTATCCTACCTATTGTACTCTACTGCTCTCCATTAATCTTTCCTGGGCTTCTCAAAAAAGATTATATCATATTACGAAGAGTATTAAATGCTATGAGTAGGGTTGGAAAAGCAGCTGGACCAGATGGAATACCCCTGAAGCACTGAAAGCGGACCCAGAGACTACAGCAGACATGCTGAATCAATTATTGCAGGTCTGGAAGGAGGGAAAGGTACCTACTGACTGGAGGAAAGGTTACCTCGTGAAACTACCAAAGGGAGACTTAGGACTCACTCTGCAAGAACTGGCGAGGAATCATGCTCCTGTCGACGCCAAGTAAAATCCTGAGTCGCATCATCCTGGAGAGAATAAAGAACGCATTGAATACAGAACTCCGCCCCACCAGAACAAGCTGGATTCAGGAAAGTCAGGCGAATCATGTACTGACCAAATTACAACTCTACGCATCATCATCACAGAACAAAGCATGGAACGGCAATCAAACCTCTACCTCAACTTTATAGACTTTGAGAAGGCCTTCGACAGACAGCATTGACCGCGAAGTAATTTGGAAACTACTCCGGTACTACGGCGTACCCCAAATATTCATCAACCTTATTCAACAGCTGTACGACAACGGAACATGTCAAGTGATCCACAACGGAAAACTCAGCGAGGTGTTTGGAATAAACACAGGAGTCAGACAGACAAGGGTGCTTACTATCACCAATGATATTCCTAATTGTGGTGGACTGGATTATGCGTCAGGCAGTCAGTGGGAAACGAGAAGACAGGGATATCCTGCACCGATGTGGAGAACCTAGAAGACCTGGATTTCGCAAGTGGATCATTTATGCTTGATGTCACACAAAATCGAAGACTTACAAGAGAAAACCGACCGACAAATTGGTCGAAGAAGCAGCCGGAGAAGACAGGACTCCAGGTGAACATAGACAAGACGGAGGTCATGAAAATAACAAACCAACAACAACAGCAACATCCAGCGTCAATCACCATCAACGGGAGGAATTTGAAAGAGTTTACTTCATTCACTTATCATCTAGGGAAGTCGGAACGGATGAGGATGTCAAATCGAGCGAGAAATATATTCATCAACCTGAAACCAATCTGGAAATCTTCGTCACTCAACTCAGAATCAACAACAAAATTCAGTCGGATTTTCAATACAAACAACGTCAAGTCAGTCAGCTCTTCTATACGGATTAGAAACTTGGCGGGTGGGTCACAAAGAATATTTCCAACAGCCTGTTGCAGACATTTATTAACAACTGTCTTCCCTCTATACTGAAGATCAGATGACCGGGACGGAAAGAATCACCAACACGAAACTATGGGAACAAACAAAGGAAGAACCAGTCGCCAACCAACAAATATGCAGGAGAAAGTGGAGATGGATCGGACACTCGTGGCTGAGGAGACCGCTGGGTGACATCGCGCGTCAAGCCCTCGAGTGGAACCTGAAAGGTAAGCGGCGTGTGGGACGTCCAAGGGTGACAGGGAGGAGATCGTGTGAAGAGGAGTTGAAAGAGTATGGACTAACATTAATGCAGGTGTAAAGTACAGCAGAAGACAGAAGTGGCAAGAGGAGACGTGCAGTTGAGGCCCTATGTTCCACTAGGAACCCAATGGAACAATAATAATAATAAAGAGCTTGTGGTGTGCCACTGCGTAAGCTCGTCAATACTATAGTCGAGAGACAAATAAATTCCTGTACAAAACGGACAAAGGCTATACTGTCAGACACTCTGCACCCCCTTTATTCACAACTATCCCCTTGCATCTCATCAGGTAGGACGAGAAGTCAATATAAAAAGTTATATGCTCGAACCACTAAGTACAAAAGTTCTACAATACCGTATTTAGCACGTACTTTATGTGACGAAGACTCTGTTAGATGTGAAACATAAGTTACTATGTAATTAGCAAAGTGAATCGACCCTTTCATTGTTCATCTTTGTGTAATTTTATATCGTTTAATTATAACTTTGCTATTTTATTTTAGTTGTTATTACTATTATTACTACAATTTTATACTTTATGCATATTTTTCTCCGTATTGCATACAGTATTTTGCTATGTAGCTGCTATAACAACGTTTTGTTATTATTATTATGTAATGTTTATTTTTTTGTCGTTTTTGAATAAATTAGATGCAATATTGTACTGAAATGCTGAAAATTCCTTGCTGTACCATTAGTACTGTTTTTGGAATAAAGCAAAGTTATTATTACTAAAAAATCAATCAGTATATGCATACAGTAATACTAAACATATAATAATATTAAACACTATTCCGAACAATAATGTTAATACACAATGGAAACTTTTCAGCATTTCGCATTCAAATGAAAGAGAGATGAAAATATCCAGTTACCAGACATGGCAAAGAAAGACTGATAACCGCTTCTTTCTGAACGCATAAATCAGGTTTCAGGCGCTTGATTGAAATGGCTTCAGCAAACTTGAGGAAAACTGAACTCTTTTGCCTATTGATAATTTTGAACGATTCTACGACGTCCACCTCATGATCCGTGTCAAGAAGATGCCTGGCGATGGCACTATTTAAAGCATTTGTTCACTTGAACTATAAGCTTCTTGGTGACATGTTCATAAAATCGTAGAAATGCCCTTCTTTCTGTCCTTCCAATATAACTGCTCCCGCCGATACATGTAAATTTTTAATATACAGTTGGAGTTCATATTAGAAGGATATATGTCGATTTTTGATTGCACCAAAGGAAAGCAAGCTATTCGATAGACGGGGATGACCTGAGCTGCAGGATAGGCTCTGACTAGTGATGTACTCAGCCTTCTGTTGACCATTGCTGTTGTAGCGTTAAATAATTCCCTAAAAATTATCGACCATAGGAATCATCAGTGAACATTGGATGTTGACCCTTAGAGTTTAAGTCGACTTGTTTAGCTGAAGGCTTTCAGTCAAGCATCCCCACCATTTGGTACTCCGTCGTGTCACGTTCGTGCACGATCACTAGCCAGCTAAAGCGTTCGTCTAACAACTCGTTTTGGGTCCCGAAATATATCGCGTTATTTGCTTTGCCTTTAGTACGCGAGATACAAATACGTTAGAAATTGTTGGTATGTATAAGAGCTTGCGTTAATATACCCAATACTGTGCGCGAACGTCTATACCGTCAACCTGTAAACTGTAATGTTTTCACCTTTATAATCAAGTTGAATGTAGATTGGCTTTTTCTCCACACTGTGATTTGTTTTACATTTGAGACTTCACATCTTCTATACTTGTTAATGAATCCTTAAGGGTATCCATTGCTCTTCAATATCTTTTCAAGAAACACAAATTCTTCTAATTTCTCAACAGAGCATAATCTTCTAGCTCTATAGTATAAAGTCTTGTCTATTCCGTGTTTAAAGCTATTTGGACAAAAACTTTTTTTGAAATGTAAGTATTGTCCTTTCCAAGTTGGTTTTCGATAAATTGACTTCTGAAGACTACCATCTTCGAGAGGTTGCATGGCAATGTCGAAGAAGTGGAACTTTGCATCACTTTTATGTTCCATTATAAACTCAGTACTGGTGTGTGCGTCAATGAACAACCTGAGTAAGTTGGTATGAAGCATGACTTTCACTGTTGCACACTACAAATGTGTCATCAATATATATATATATATATATATATATATATATATATATATGCAATCGACGAAACAACTTCCTACTATCGATATGTCGATGATACATTATGCATTCAGAAAGAAACAGTTATCAGTCTTTCCTTGATCTGTCTGGTAACTGGATATTTTGCGCCTCTGCTTCATTTGATTAGGTATTGTCGAAAGTTTTCTTTGTGTGTGATCAATATTGTTTGGGATAAAGTATTTATTATTAAATATATTATTATTATTGTATACATATATTGATTGGTTGATTTTTGTTTTTGACCACTTCCATGTGTATCTA